ATCCTACATTTAACTTGCATGTGTACTGGGTTTTCCTTTGACAATTTCTGAATAAATTGACGACATGCTTCCGATCGTCTTACATAAAGTGGCTCTAACTGCGCCACATAAAGGGCGTCGTTGTAAGGTATGTTAGGGAAAACTATTGCGAGCGCGCGCATTTGCACTTTCTCGATAGCGTGAGAAAGATATTGCGGCAAGTTATCAAAGACAACTGATGCGTACTCTAAGATAGGACGAAGGAGCGCGCAATAAACTCTTACAATATCAGGAGCTGGCACTTTGCAACGCTTTAGCGTTCGGAGGGCATAGAGTCGGCGATTTGCCTTCTTGACAATACGTTCACAGTGCTCGACAATACGTTCACAGTGCTCGACAATACGTTCACAGTGCTCAGTATATTGCAATATTTTTATACTCATTTATCTTAGATGCATTGCCATTTAAAGAATACGTCTTATACATTCTTTGCTTTTTTCGTATTGATCTAATTATTCCAGAAGTTATCCAGGGCTTATTTATCTGCTTTTGTTTAGAATTACTGGCTACTCTGATAGGTGCATGTTTGTCAATAAGCGCTATGATTGCTGAAATCACTTGGCTGGTTTTTTCATGTATTGATTTATCATCAGTTAAAAATCTGTCCCATTGGATTAGTTTGATATCATTTAGAAAATCATCCTCACAAAAGTTCTTATAGTCTCGATATACACTTTTGGTAGACACTTTAGTTGGGCGTGAGTTAGTGACGCAAAATACTGGCAAATGGTCAGTCATCTCAACGACAGCTATTCCAGACAAGATATTGTTATTAACGGGAACATTGGTACATATGTGGTCAATTAGTTTGCTGTGTGATTGATGATCCTAGTTGGTTTTGTTATGATAGGCAATAGGTTGTTAGCATAAAGCATATTCAAATAATTTTCTGAAGGGATGTGGGTATTAATGCTCAAAGATTCCTAGAAGATAAAGTGTCATACTTTCCATTCAAAGATTAAAGTATGTCATTCAGTTGAGTAGTAAAACGGGTTAAATCTGCTTTAGGGTGTCTATAGATACATCCGATTATTATTTGGTCTAGATATTTCGGCCCAGATAGATTCCACTTGGTCCATAGAGAATAGAAGGTCAGGTCTCATTGAGGCTTGAAGATTGTTAGCTATATATAAACCAACTCTGCCTGCTTTTGTCTCGGAATCATTGTGCAGAAAACGATATGAATTTATTTCAGTGGTAACAATAGAGTTGGTGTTAAGTTTAGTTTCACTTATACCTATGATATTTGGTTTATTATCTAATGCGCTAAGTAGTTCTTCTAAGAGATGCAAATTTTTGGGCAAGCTTCTTAGATTACAATGGAGGATAGATAAACAGTCATGGCCGAAATTTTTTGCAGACTCATTCATTTTTGAACTTGAAAAGTAATTAGAACAAGGCGATGATAACATAAAATCCGGATCAGAAACGTCATCATTTTGATCAGGATTGATAAATAAATTTTGTAAGTCAATCGTTTCATCGATCATTCCAGACCAGTTTCCAGACAAATCATGTAAATCACTGTCAGATGCATTTGCGAAGAGTAGTTCATAATTCATACTAAGCATAGCGAAAAATTATATAAAATAAACTATTAAAAGTGTTCATATATATAACCTATCTACATGTATATACCTTCAGCTTCTTAAAAATCTTCAAAACTTTCGTCAGTGGCGAAAGAGTGAGTGTTTGATCTTTCATCTGCCCGAAAGAATATTTTACCATTAACAGTCCATAGGAATTTGTAGTGATGCTTCTATAGTTTCTTTCTGTAGACCGTGAGACTTTCTTTAATAAAGATTCGTGCTTTATGAGGGACTGTAGTTGATTCAGGTTCTGCAGCGACGGTCGGCAGGTCTTTAGTTCGCTTGGTTTTTAGAGCACTTCGTTTACTGTAAATGAAGTCCTTGGTTTCACGTCTCGTGAACTTAACGATGAGTCGATCTTTAGTTTTCCTTGTTGGAGGGAGACGGTGCGCAGTAGAAATATCGTTCCTCGAGATGTTTATGTCCATAGAGCTGGCCATTTCAATTACAAGTTTATTAGGGTCGTCGTTAGGTACCACCAGTGGATCTCAAGGCAGTCACGTCGGCCATATTGTTGTAAGCTGTCGACGTCAACTTCCATGTCATAGGTTCTTGATCTCAGCATTTCCACTTGAGAGCGTAGATTATTTATTTGTTGGTCTTTACACAGCAGATCTTTCTTAGTGTCTTGGTAATTTTGAACCACTGTATCGTACTTATTAGAAAGGAAAGACAAAGACTTCTCGAATGAGTTTAAGGAGCTTCTGCTCGAATGAGGTCACCTTTATTGACAGAGTTGTTAATTCTGTTTTAACTTCTTTAGAAATTTCATTAAGAATATCTCTCATGAATTCGTTTTTCCAGATTTTTCTAAGTTCTTCAAGAGTGAGACTCATTACTGATACTCCCTGATCGCTAATACGTCCGAGTGTAATCGCTAATACGAAGACTATCAGGAGTCATTATTAAGTGTGATAACTAGAGTAATATCGTTCCTCGATAACTGCTCCCTAGTTCTTATACTTATCTAACGTAATTGTTCTAGACAGAACAGCACTGCAAAACTTAAAGTATTTAGCTCCTGAAAAATTTGGCTTTTGACGTTTTTCGGTCGCAAAGACGGAGACTTGCTAAAATGTGCTCAGCGCGGAGTCCCGAGAGATGGGGCTCTCAATAAACCTCAATATGCTTGTTGACTAGTTTCATTACCTTCCAAATCTGCACCAAAAAGCTTTTCCTTCTTCTGAACAATAAATTTGTTGTTTGTTTTTGATTCGTATTTTTTTAGTTCTTCTGTAACTTCATATAAACTACTGAAACATTCACAAGACGAACTCGACGCCATTAGAACTGAATGCCGGTCTCAACTCAAAATTCCCGCAAAAAACGCATGCTTACTATTAAGTTGTGAACCAGCCCATAAGATTTCACATTGCTTTCGTATACAACTCGGAGGAATCTCGGAAATCTTCGCAAGTATTGTCGAATAATTCGAAAAGTAGTCCCTTTGGGACACCTAACGTATTGGTCCTGTCTTGCCACATTGCATTATTACGCCTTGGAGCAGGCATGGAAGAATGCTTAATAAAGTCAGCTAATTGTGAGGGACTAATTTCGAAATATCCCAGAAGGAATACAGTTTTTGTCTCAGCTCGTGGAAAATGCAAATTTTCTCGTGCTCTCTTTTGTGTTAGGTCAGGTCTTTGCGTAATTGAATCCGTTGTCATATAAAGCAGCGGTTTTTCGCCATGAACTTTTTCGTTGTCTTTGTGTTGCAGGATTTATCAAATGAAATCCATTATGAGTTTACCACTTGCGTTGTAGTCAACACTGCAAAAACAAATCGGATAGACATTCAGACAGACAGAGACAAACAGGCAGGTAGACATACATCTATTTCACCCCTCTCAGTCTGGCCTTGTAGCTCAGCTGGTAGAGCRTCGGTGTACRRATCCGAAGGTCGTGGGTTCGAATCCCAGCGAGGTCGGAAATTAATTTTTCCGAATTTATTCCTAAGGGATTCTCACAGAATTGCCTCCTTCTAAGCACTATAACTTTCTTAAAAACACTTAATGTGACTTTCTCAAAAAATTGTAAATAGAGAATATAAAAAAAAAAAAATCTAGAGAAACACACTTAGTGTGATTTCTTTAAAAGTTGTAAATTGCTTGTCTATATGTGTGTGTGTTTTTGATTTGTNTTAAGCGATTTTGGTGGGGTATAGTCCATATATTTTGATCAAAAATGGGTCATCTTGAAGGTAACATACTCATGGATATGGTCAATAAAAGGTCATTTTAAGCGATTTTGGTGGGGTATAGTCCATATATTTTGATCAAAAATGGGTCATCTTGAAGGTAACATACTCATGGATATGGTCAATAAAAGGTCATTTTAAGCGATTTTTGTGGGCTATAGCCCATAAATTTGATCAAAAATAGGTCATCTTCAAGGTAACATACTCATGGATATGGTCAAAAATGCGTCATTTTTAGCGATTTTGATGGGCTATAGCCCATACAATTTGATGAAAAATGGGTCATTTTGAAGGTAACATACTCATGGATATAGTCAAAAATGGGTCATTTTCAGCGATTTTGGTGGGCTATAGCCCATACACTTTGATCAAAAATAGGTCATTTTGGAGGTAACATACTCATGGATATGGTCAAAAATGAGTCATTTTGAAGGTAACATACTCATGGATATGGTAAAAAATGGGTCATTTTCAGCGATTTTGGTGGGCTATAGCCCATACATTTTGATCAAAGATGGGTCATTTTAGCTATTTTAGTGGGTTATAATCCATTTGGGTGATTTTCAAAGGGATGATTTTATGATTCTCTTGCTGAAATACGTTCGAAAATGTCTCATTTTCATGGTAGGATACGGTGAGACACTTGATCTTTGTGTATTTCAGTTTCATCCAAAATAAATAAGACTTGTATTTTAAAAAAATATATTTTTATTATTGAATAAAAATTGAATAAAAATAAAGAAATCATTTTTCGCAGTGAGGAAGTTCTTTCGAAGCAATGGACACTTGGATGGGAATACTGAAGTGTTTCTGCAATAGCAAGTTATGTCTCTGTAAAAGGGTTATCTCTAGTACAGTCAACTTACAGCAAAGAATGGGCATCAGGGGATCCTTGAATATTGCGTTATCCTCAACATCAAAGTTGACTTTACTCTATAGTCTTACCTTAGCTTGTGTTGCAGTTGCAGCACCGACGGACTTGTTGCTTATATAGCCAGTGTCGAACTACGCAACTTGATTAAACAGAGAGTATCGCACAAAAAATATTATTTTTTCTCATGCCTATTTTTGGTAAATGTATCATGATAAAAATATAGAATTGTCAAGAAGGTAGATATTTATCATACTAAAAGATACGTTTGCGGCATGCGTTATCGAGAAAGCTTTGGACTCAATGACCCTTTTTTGAAATTTTAATTGCTTTTTCTTGGCAAAACGGTGGGGAAAACGATAATGCATTTCACCGAAAGTTGCATGACGTCACTAGGGGAGAGTACCATTTATGAGTGAGGTTCGTGAGGTTGGGTGCATTTTAAAGTCTTTTGTCTCTAATTGTTTGTTTACTAATGTTCTTATCACATATTTAAAGAGAGGTCTTCATTTCTTGATTCTCTGCGTCTTTTCCATCCGGKTCGTCCTCGAACTCACTTACATTTCCCGATGGCACTCCATAGTCATCTTTTGCGAATTGTGGTATGATCAGATCTTCCTCAAGTAAATCTCCTCTGTTTCCCACACTCGAGGGGTCGATTTTCATGGCTAGATTTTTAAGTAATCTGTTTTGTGCTTCGAGGGTAAGGATTATTGTCTTAACGCGTTTCTTTGTTTTCACTAATTGAGATTTTAGGTCTTTATAAGACTCTTCTTGTTGATAATACGGCATGCGATTTTTTACGGCGCCTGTACTTCCAGTGAATAATCTGTAAACTCTGCAAATAAACAATGAATGGTAATGAGCAAAGAAATTACGAATAGTCTGACGAAGATTACTGTGAAATATATGGAAAATAAATAAATAAACAATTGATTTTCCTCAGCTCTAATTGGTCGAGAGCTGACCACGTGACGCGTCAATGCCAAGTCGTGGTAGGGTACTATCAGTGCATAATGCTCCCCTCCCCCTCCACCTAAGGAACAGAGTAATGAAATGAAATTCTGATCACGTGATACGTAATGAAGCCACAGACTGTAGTTACGACTGTAGGAATACAAGCGAGTGAAGGCCGCAGCTTCTAAGGAAATAAAAATTTAATCGGCCCATTTTCATTTGTTCTTCACTTCTGTCTACTAACTCTGCTTACTTCAATAATTATGCCTTGTTGATGAGATAAAGTGCCCCCTCCCAAAGATCGTAGAGATTTCCTTGGAGAATTTAAAACAAATGGGTCTGTAGGGGTACCTTATCTCGGAAACAGGTCCTAAACAGCACGGTAGGATCACTTTGGTTTACAGCCCCTAATAGTAGCCTTCGCAGTTACCTGCATCATGTTGAAAGGGAGCCGTGCCTTTAAATCGAAGCGAAACAACCGTTGGGCGTGCAATGATAGAAACCTGTGAATAATTGCTGTAGTTGTGAAAGAAGGTTTCTATCATTGCACGCTCAACGGACGTCTCGCTTCTATGCAAAGGCACGGTTACCTTTCAAGATGGCGCAGGGAACCATGAAGAGGACTATTACAACACATACATACCGTGTTATCCACGAGTCTTTATTGGGGAAGAAAACAATCCCTTTTTTATAAACGAGTCGTGTTATGAACCTTGGGTACTTTTTCTCTATTTGTGAAACAAATTCCACTCGCATTGCTTGGGTTTTCAGTGTTGCCTCTCGTTGAACCTTATCGATGTCTCCAACTGCAAGACCGACCTGCGAAGAGAGGAGAGGTCACAAAACGTGAGTGATGGGTATTTTAGTCGACGGATATTCTTAGGGAACCTTAACTCTTATCTTTCTATACTACCATGCATTACTGAGGTTATGGCCACTATCGAAATCACCACTATCATAAGTAATATTTAACGTTCAAGCAACATTATATAAAACTGAACAAGTAGGGCGTAACAAAGACACCAGATAAGATGTAGTCGCAGAGGGGTGAGGGGGGGAGGGCTAAAAGATATCTGTCTGTCTGTCTGCATCAAATCCGAGGCCGAAAGGAAGCGCGGGAAGGCAAAAAATAATACATGATATAGAAATAAAGGAAATTTATAGTGCTAGAGGAAGGAGTCTGTTCCGGGAGAAAGACCCTTGGAATTAAATTCAGAAAAATTAATTTCCGACCTCGTTGGGATTCGAACCCACGACCCTCGGATTTTTGTACTACAAGGCCGTCAGACTGAGAGCGTGTACAACGTTTTTTTATCTGTATTAGCTACTAATGACCTCGTCTCCGACAAATTCTAATAATCAACATTTGTACTCAAACATGATTCAAAGTCCTAGTACACCAAATCCCTCGTGCTCCGTGTGATATGACGTCACCTTTTTAAACCCGACTCCAGTTTTTAAATTTTAAGTCGGAAAACTCAAACACTACACTACGCGGTACTCACCAGTAGATTCATTAAGGCGATGCACACGATGAAGACAAAGAGATAGATGAAAAAGAACGCTGTTTCAGGAAATGGGTTTTTGGGATTGGCAGTAGTTGTGTTTCCAGTACTTTTGATGGTTGCGACGAATACATCAGAGTACTCAAGCTCACCCAGCATCATAATGCTTGTTTTCATAATCGAGCGCCCCATGTTAAGGAAGTCGTCCTGAAAAGCGATGAAAAATAAATGAATAGTTGGTCTCCTTTACAGGCTACTCCTAAGTAAAAAGTATTTTTTCACTGCTTGGTCTTTCTGTGTTGATTTGTCCTGACCGAGAAAAACTGGCGCTGAGAGATGAATAGGAACAATGAATAGGAGGAGTACTCCGCCTGCCTTTTCGTCCTTCCCAGCCCCTCCGNGAGGGTAAGGATTATTGTCTTAACGCGTTTCTTTGTTTTCACTAATTGAGATTTTAGRTCTTTATAAGACTCTTCTTGTTGATAATACGGCATGCGATTTTTTACGGCGCCTGTACTTCCAGTGAATAATCTGTAAACTCTGCAAATAAACAATGAATGATAATGAGGAAAGAAATTACGAATACTCTGACGAAGATCACTGTGAAATACGTGGAAAAAATAAATGAATAAAATCAACAATTGATTATCCTCAGCTCTAATTAGTCGAGAGTTGATCACGTGACGCGTTAATGCCCGTCGTGGTAGGGTATTATTGTCAGTGCTTAAATGCCCCCCTTCCACCCAAGGAACAGAGTAATAAAATGAAATTCTGATCACGTTGAGTGTTATTGCGGATACATAATTAAGACAGAGACTGTAACTACGCCGTGGGAATACAAGCGAACGAAGACCGCAGCTTCTAAGGAAGCAATAACCAAAACGGTCCATTTTGATTTTTTCTTCATTTCTGTCTCCTAGCTCTGCCCACTTCAATAATTATGCCGTGTTGATGAGATTAAGTGCCCTCTCCCCAAGCTCGTAGAGATTTCCTTGGAGAATTTAAAACAAATGAGTCTGTAGTGGTACCCTACCATGCTCCTAAAGAGCATGGTAGGATCCCTTTAGTTTACAGCCCCCAATAGTAACCTTCACGGTTACCTGCACCATGTTGAAAGGTATCCGTGCCTTTACATCGACAACCGTTAAGCGTGCGATGATAGAAACCTTCTTTCACACCTACAGACAATTATTCACAGGTTTCTATCATTGCACACTCAACGGTCGTCTCGCTTCGATGCAAATGCACGGTTACCTTTCAAGATGGCGCAGGTAACCGTGAAGGAGACTATTACAACACATACATACCGTGTTATCCACGAGACTTTATTGGGGAAGAAAACAATCCCTTTCTTATAAACGAGTCGTGTTATGAACCTTGGATACTTTTTCTCTATTTGTGAAACAAATTCCACTCGCATTGCTTGGGTTTTCAGTGTTGCCTCTCGTTGAACCTTATCGATGTCTCCAACTGCAAGACCGACCTGTGAAGAGAAGAGAGGTCGTAAAACGTGAGTTATGGATATTTTAGTCGACGGACATTCTAAGAGAATTCTTATTTTAAGATGTAGAGGAGCAACTGTGACAAAAGTTACAAAGTATCTGTTTGCCGGTCCAAAACAAATCTAAGGCCTGAAGGGAAATCACGGGAAGGCAAAAATTAGTACATTACAACAACCTCCTTCACGGTTTCGTGCGCCATCTTGAAAGGTAGCCGTGCCTTTACATCGAAGCGAGACGACCGTTGAGCGTGCAATGATACATAAAAACCTTCTTTCACATCTACAGACAATACTTTAGTTTCGAATTCTCTTTTGTGCTAGCTTAGCTTCAATTGAGCATAAATTTTTATTGCCTTCTTCGTACTCAGAGTTTTTGCATTACAATAGGATCTCTGATGAATAAAATAATATATTACATGCAGTCGAGGTTAAGGCTGCACAAATAAGATCTCGAAACTGGATTATTATTCACAGTTATCTATCATTGCACGCTCAACGGTTGTCTCGCTTCGATGCAAAGGCATGGCTACCTTTCAAGATGGCGCAGGAACCGTGAAGGAGACTATTACGTGTGCAACGGTTTTCAGTCTATCTGTATTAGCTATCAATGACCGTCACAAACATGATTCCAATGCCTGTTTTAAACCCGACTTCGTACTTTCAATTTTAAGTCGGAAAACTCAAACACTACACTACGCGGTACTCACCAGTAGATTCATTAAGGCGATGCACACGATGAAAACAAAGAGATAGATGAAAAAGAACGCTGTTTCAGGAAATGGGTTTTTGGGATTGGCAGTAGTTGTGTTTCCAGTACTTTTGATGGTTGCGACGAATACATCAGAGTACTCAAGCTCRCCCAGCATCATAATGCTTGTTTTCATAATCGAGCGCCCCATGTTAAGGAAGTCGTCCTGAAAAGCGATGAAAAATAAATGAATAGTTGGTCTCCTTTACAGGCTACTCCTAAGTAAAAAGTATTTTTTCACTGCTTGGTCTTTCTGTGTTGATTTGTCCTGACCGAGAAAAACTGGCGCTGAGAGATGAATAGGAACAATGAATAGGAGGAGTACTCCGCCTGCCTTTTCGTCCTTCCCAGCCCCTCCGTCCTCCGACCGAATTTCTGCTTCAACACAGGAAACCCGCGGAATCGAGTTGCCTAAGAAKGAGGTTAAATAAACCCTTTTAGCGATCTCTTTTACGCTGTGTTGGCCTCAAAACCACGTAATAAATTCGTTTATTCACAACAGTCCGTGCAAATGAGATCTGAGATMTGAGATCAAGAGATCTGTGAGTATATAAGAAAATTGAAATAGTTTGAAATCTCACGAGTTTTTTATATTTCAGCGCACAGTTTAGGCTAWCACAGCGTGAAAGAGATCGCGAAACTCAACTATTGTAGTCACAATGGGTTTTCGTGTCSCTTTTTCGCGCTTCTTGGTCCTCATTTCCTTGAGGAATATATGAGAAAGAATAGTCTTCTGAACCTTTCCATCACTACTAAATTTTCAGTGAATTGTGGGATAATTTTCTAGAGAAAGAAAAACGCCATACACCTTTACCATAATGGCCGCCATCTAATTAACATAATTTTTTTAAATTTAGAATTTTAGTCAAAGTAAACTAACAGCTGATAGGAACCTGTGCTAATAACAACATGTAAAAGTTTGAAATGAAAATATTAAATTCTGGTGAAGTTATAAGGATTTAAAATATATCATAACACCAGAACGAGGCTATAAAGGCCTTGGCTGAAAATTACATACATTTCTTTGTATTTTCATTTCGCCATAACTTTGTTCGCATTTTATCCAGGGCTGTAAAACTTTCCAAAAATGTTTATTTTTGGTAGTTCATTCACATGACAGTGACAAGTTTTCACATATTTCATATTCAGAAACAAATAGACAGACAGCCATTGGTGGAAAATTACATACATTTCTTTGTATTTTTATTTCACCGTAACTTTTTTCCTATTTTGTGCAGAGTTCTAAAACTTTCCAAAAACGTTTATTTCTGATAGTTCTTTGATGTTACAGTGACAAAATATTCATATCTATCTTATTTYGGAAAAACATAATTGCCGCCATTATGATAAAGGTGTATATGTTTGTCCCAAACAAATCCTACAATGCAATGCATATCCGGTACATGACGTAAAAATTTCAGAGGTCTATTTGGAAGCGAAAACCAATAAAAGTGTACCAGTCCTAGTTTCATTTTCCCCCCAAAAAATTATCATAAAGATCTGCAAATGAGAGCAACCTAACTGCACTATGGGTAATKAGTATTGATGATTCGAAGTGTACGACCTTTTCATGAAAATCTGGGGAATTTAGGAAAGCGAGGTCTTAGAAGAGACATTTTTCCAGTTTCAGTAAAGAAGTCGCAAGGCAAATCGTAAAAAAATATTACTTTGACGTTCGCATGGGTACTACAGTAGTCCAACTCCTGCTAGACACATTTTAAGATTTCATATGAAATGATATTCCGATATTTCCCTTCTGAGGTACTGAAATCTACCAATCAATGATTCAAGCCATACCTGTTCTTTGAATAGAACGTAGAAAACGAGTGCAAAGCCTATTATAAACACCATAAACACGACCATTACTTTGACCAGCGTCTTCATGACCTCCATATGCATTGTGATGTACAGACCAAGTGTGGAGAAACGCGTTAAGTACAGAATGAAGTTCACATAGGTTAAGAAGATCGAGAAGATCCCGATGATCCACATGTTCAGGGGTTCGCTCATTGCTCCATAATGATCGTTAACCCAATCATCAGGTGCCGCGTAAGGAATCAGAAATGTTACGACCGACGCGTACAGGAGCCACTCTAGTAAATTCGTGAGCTGAAATTTAATAAAAAAATATCAGTTGTAGACGAGTTGTAGAGTGCCTGTGTTCAGTCTTAATGTCTCTTAATGCGGTACGGTTGCCTTGTACGTCAAGTCGCGCTCGAAAAGTTATACCGTCTAAATCGGCCATTACAAATCCTGTACAGGTCCCTGCATTTTGATGTCAAAGAGCTTCATCTGGAGGACAAAACAAAATATTTTGCTCTCTTGGGGACAAAAATCCATTGTTTTTTCGCCCAGTTGGAGATGTATTCCCACGAAAAGGGTCTATAAGCAATGCGCAGAGACGCCATTTTGCGTAGCAAAGCATGATGGTGGTCGTAGTCGTCAAGTTTATTTATAGAGACTAAATATCTTTTTAGTTGTTGTCCTAAATATCTTTTTATAGAACTTTTCAAGATTTCTTTGTACGTCAAAATTAATTTTAGTTTGGTATTGCCGGATTTCAAACCGAGTGGGGACTGGGCAAAATCCCCTAATTGGGTAATCATGGCATAAGACTTACATAGAAAGAAAGCAAAATTCCAAAATCTGCAAAATTCCAAAATCTGGTGTCAATGAGTTCAATAGTGAACGAGTTACGGCCTTTCAAATATTCTAAAATTTGCAAAGAAATGTATGGGAAGCCGTGAATGTGTCCGCATTTTGACCATTTTCCGGACACATTCACGGGTTCCATACATTTCTTTGGAAATGTTAGAATATTTGAAAGGCCGTAACTCGCTCACTATTGGACTGATTTACATCAAATTTTGGAATTTTGCATTTCTTAATAAGGGCTTTCTTTCTATGTAAGTCTTATGTCACGATTACCCAATTAGGGGATTTTGCCCAGTCCCTCACGGTTTGAAATCCGGCAATAGAAAAAGCAAAAACATTTCAGTAGGAATGTTTCAACGGACATAAAGAAGTACGAGGGCTACAACTACCATCATGCCTTGCTGTACAAAATGGCGTCGCTGTACATTGCCTATTGCAAGTTCTCAGATAATCAAAAGAAGGGCATGCGCAGCTAGTAAATCTTCTGATTAAGTCTCGAGCCTTTTGTCTTCTCATCTTGTTAGCGCTGACATGCATTGACTTACACTAGACAGTAAGGAACATTTTCTGGGTATGACGTTATAGTCTTTTCAGACTCAGCCAAACGCGCGATGCTAGCTAGCTAATAGCTAAAGTAGAGAATGAGCCGGGGTCTGGGTGTGAATTCAATAAAAATGCAGCTATGAAAGTATGAAGGTATATTAAAGGGCTACTTGGACGAAAATTGCGAAACATTAGAAAAGACTTGGAAATCAAATAGATCTATCCATATGGSTCTAATAATCATGAAGCAACAGATTTCAAGAAGATATTGAAACACTATCATATAATTTGGGCAAAAATGTTGGAGTAGATGACGTCATTTACTCCATCCTTTTGTTCTTCCATCTTTTGAAAATTTCTCTGATGTGGGATAATTCCAAAACAAATATTTTCCCGCAATTGTTTTTAATAGATATAAATGAGTCATATATTTGTATTGCTTGAAGTTTTGAAATAAGACCATTTTCATGCAAGTAGCACTTTAAMCAAATACTGTTTTCCTATTTTGCGCATTGCCCATTAGATTTGGATGTACCAACGAAGCATTACATAAAAAACACATACATCTGTAAAATAAGCCAGCCTTCGCAAAAACACCTGGATAACTTCCTTCGCCATTTGAATAACCGCGAAACCCATTATCAGTATAGGCAAGATATCACTAAGCCCACTTTTATTGTACAATGACGAGGCCTTTTCGTTTGGATTTTCTTTTTTAGCTGCAGCGAATCCRCCAAAAGTAATCTTACTCCTTTCCAAAACTAGGAAAATAGAGTAACAGATTATAAAAGCCAAGTAGSTGTTGAAATTTATAGCATAAACAAGTCTCCCAATCGTTGCCCATTTCTTTTGAAGAAGCATTTGAGTAAGGGGATGTAGAAGAAGGTCAGAGCGATGGTATTCAACCATAGTATCGGGACCAAAGTATCGSTTATTCTAAAAGAAATCAAGAAAAATAATTATTAAAATTAACATAAAGTGAAAGGGATTTCTAGTGGGAAAGGAGTGGGAAATGCTGGCAGCATTTGCTTGAGGGCCTAAGACGGTTATTATCATTTAATATCACACCAGACAAACTGTAGGTCCATACAAACATGTGTAACCCTACTGATTTGGCAGATAAAGGAAATATTTAAAGTCATCTTGAAAGGTAACAACGTCTATATATCTTAGCGAGACGACCTTTGAGCGTGCTTTGGCAGATAGTTGTTTTGAAATGTCTTTAGGCGTGAAAAAAAGTATCTATAACTTGAAAATCACAATGCTTAAAGACCCACGTGCATCAGAGAACCTTTGCATGATTTTTTTTCGCAAATATGAAACATTGCCGTCTTTAATTTAAAACCAGTTGCAATCAAAAAGCAATTTTCAAAAACGGATTATTTGTAAAACGAAGGCAAACGACCGCAAAGGCTCTCGGGTGCACGTGGTCTTTCATTTCGTTTTGATAAAAGGCACGGTTACCTTTCAAGATGGCGCAGAGAATTATAAATGAGAATTTTCAGCCTCACCTTAACTGACGACGGATCGTCGGGTCCTGGGTCCAGAAGAGTAAAATCGTAATACAAAGCGTAGTCTGGATTATTTGAGCTCATCTGTTCCACTGGATAGATGCAGCTATCCATGATGTGTTGAGCGGCCTCGGGAAAATGGGCAATAAATTGCTTCATCGGTGAATGCCCATAAGGCCCTGACTTATCATCAAGGACTTCCCTGCATCTAAAATGATGAAAGGAATCAGCAATGCCGTTAGAAGATTATCTAGAATCGATTTTTTATGGGTCCCCCGACCTTCTTGAAAAATGCTCCTGCAACAAGCGAGGGAGAAGTTGATTTTTCAAAGATATCAACACTTGCACATCACGTAAAAAGGTTAAGACATGTATCATAACCTCAACCGTCTTCTGCCCTTATGATACGCTGGGATTTGAGATCCAGGGCTAGAAACATAGCTTGCTCGGATGGCGTGCTTATTTACTCCGCAGTCTAATCAGTTTGTCCAGTTCAAAACATATTTTTTACTGCAAATCAACCAAAATGGATTTGCCAAAAGCGTTGCTCTCTTTTTTATCCACGAGATTTTGTTTTGCATATCGCGTTCTTCGGTACTAAGAGGTTGTAAGTACACTTTTCAAAATATATCTTAATATTGCGGACAACCAGTACCTTGAATGCTTGCAGATGGCCATTGCTGATTCCGAAGATCCATATTTAACAGCAACGTCAATAACACCCAAGTTTTCATTGTTGCGAATTAGAATCGAAGCTCCAGTGTCTAACAACATCTCTACGACGGTCACGCGATTGTGTCGAATTGCTTCAAGCAAAGCCGTATCACCCTGATTATTGACATCGTCAATCCGGGCACCGTTTTCTAGAAGTCCCTCGCATGTTTTGGAGACTCCGTTTCTTGATGCGAGTATAAGCGGTGTACACCTGTTGTTGTCTCTATAATTGATGTCTGCACCAAGTTTGAGTAGCTTGAGGCACACTTTTCTAAGGAAAAATAATAATAATAGCTTTATACCAGATGATGTAGCAATTGGGGTTGTCCCAAATACCCAGAGATGGGGCATCCAATGAGAGATCGGCAAGTGAGAGGTTGATATTTTTACAAGTGCGCATATAATATATATAGTATCATGCAGGCCGAATATTGGTTGAAAAATGTGTGGGACCCAAGGAATTATGATGTTAATTCCTCTATGGAATTCTCCCTTTGATTGGCCCCGATTGCATACGCTAAGAAAAAGTCCAGACGTGGATGCAGACTCCTCCTTGATCCACCCCTGCATGCTTTATAAAGAATGAGATTTCGGTAAAGAAAACAATACATACTTGTGTCCTTTGGCTGCAGCGACGTGCAATGCTGATTTTCCCTCATCATCGCGTTCATTAACAGGAGAACCAGCTCTCCCCAGCTCCTCGACGTGCTCAACTCGTCCAGCCTCTGCAGCCAGATACATCGGTGTTTGTTGGTTCTCGTCTTGGAAGGCAAATCTCTTCTGCTTAGGAAGAACGGCTTGAAGAACCTTTAAATGAGAGAAGATACTTTAAGTGAATTACATTGTCATTATTAATCGATATGATGCTGTTCAAAAGAGTTAAATGTAAATTACTTAAAACAATTCCGGCTCTAGAGTGACCACGACGAAAAATATCAAGTTGGGCCTTTGCAAATATATTGATTTTCACAAATTAGACTTTTAAGAGGATTCGTCTACTGGGACTATGTTTCTCAGGTGCAGATTTGCAATTCATGGATACCTCCAGAAACTCTCCTATAAAATTCAAGGTTTGTATCTAGATAACTCAAAAATGTAATTTAATGATCTTACCTTAATATTACTGCACATTGCAGCATAATGAAGAGGCACCCTCTCCTGGATATCCGGACTATATAAGTTTTCATGGCACCCTTCAACGTCCAACAGAGCCTTCAGAGTATCCAGTTGATTATTCTCAACAGCAAGATGCAGACAATTCTTTACCATTGCATCATAAGCATTGATCTTTGCTCCTTTCAATAGAAGGAGCAACGCAGAGTCGGTCTGGCCTGATTCCACAGCGACGAGGAATGGTGTTCTGTTGCCGTAGTCTCGAGCATCAACAACTGCACCTTTTTCTAAAAGGAAGTTTATGGTTTCGGTATGACCAAATGTGGCTGCTCTAGAAATATGAAAATGCTGAATTTTAAGTTATGCTTTCAAGAGAATGGAAATAGTAATACTTTGGTATTGGTAATGGCCTGCAGGTGATGGTGATCATTGGTAATGGTGATGATAATGATGAATACTCCATTTTCGAATTCTAAGCGACCAACCGCTGTCTTATTTGACAGCAGATTTTCTTACGCAAGGAACTTACCAAACACAAAGAAAGCACGAGAAAATGTTTTACGTACAATAACACTAACAATTTACAGTTTACCCGAGTTGAGACTAACCCTGTATTCCCGGAAGGCGCATACCTTAGGTCTCATGGGAATACAGGGTTAGTCTCAACTCGGGGAAAACGAAATTTTTTCGTGCTCCCTTTTGTGTTTGGTCAGGTCTTTGCGCAAGAGAATCTGTAGTCAAATAAAGCAGCGGTTATTCGCTATCAATTCGAAACTGGAGAGCAATAGAGGCAATTGCAATAGCAATGGCAATGACAATAATAATGGAAGTGCTAACGGAAATGCTACTGACGACCCTAGTGTCAACGGCCATGAGAATCATCGCCAGAGCAATATGGACATAGTTGAGCTTCTTGGTTTCTTTTACACTTTGTTAGCCTCAATTAAGTTTAAAACATGCAGAAATTCGATCAGATAAAACTGGTGATCAAAGACCTCTTGTATTTTCACAGGCTGTTACGGAATAAGATAATATATTTGAGGCTAACATATTGTAAAAGAGATCGCTAAAATGGATTATACTGTTCCAATAATAATAATATCAATAATTACCTGTGTAGTGCCGTGCGCCCATCGAACGCTTTCGCACGAATATCTGCACCATTCGACACAAGAAGCTTAACCATATCAAGATGCCCCTTTACTGAGGCTATATGCAAAGGTGTCTGAAAATTGTTCGTCAGCAAATTCACATTCTTATCATATTTCAGAATCTTCTCCGCGATTTCCAGACTGTTTGTCATGGCAGCAAGATGGAGGATACTGTTGCTGTCCACATCGCGGGCTTTGGCGATGAAGGAGAAGTCATTTGAGACTGCAATAACTGAAAAGGAATTACAGGCACTATAAATGGAAACTCGATGCCTGCTTTAAGTTAATGGGAATTGCCTCTTAAACAATTCATGGAATTAGAGGATTGATACCCTTGTCCATGGTAGACGTGTTTCCCCCTGTCAATAATCCCTGTAAATTTTCTTGTTAAAACCGTCGCCAAATTTTAAAAATTGAACATTCCAACAACAACAAAAATAATAATAATAAATAAAAAGAAAAAATTCTCGACACTTTTCACACTATTCTCTCTTTCTCAATTTGACCTTGGTCTAACATAGATAATTCAGAAGATAATCAAAATGCTGGATTTGTGATAGTCCATCGTTTGGTGAATAGTAATGAAGAATGCAAAATTCCTCTTTTCAAGACAAGAGAAGTCATCGATATGGTATAAACCTCAACCCAGAAAATTAAAGAATAATGCATGCAATGCAATGCTTGCAAGCCCCACCTTTGTCCAATATAGCATTTGCCGCAGACCTATTACAATTTGCGACCGCAACAAGCAACGGCGTCATCTTATCCGCGGCCTGAGCTTCGTAATCTCCTCCTTTGTCCATCARCATTTTGCAGAGTTCGCCATCCCCTTGAATTGCTGCAACATGAAGTGGAATCATAAGAGACTTGTCTGGGATGTTCACTTCGATTCTTACAGTGTTTAGTAATACTCCTACAACGAGTTTGTTTCCACGTCTGCATGCAAGGTGCAGTGGGGTAGTTCCATGGATGTTTCTGATGTTAGGGTCTGCACCATGCTCGAGGAGGAGTTTGGTTGTCTCAAGCCATCCGTACCTAAAGTATATAATATAGTGTATAATAGGCTGAAATCGTGATTTTTGAATCCAAAGCATAAAAAGTGTTGTTCTGTTCACTCAGTATGTCATATTCAATAAGAAGAGAGTACTGAACTAGAAAACTAGCCAACCACTCAACTAGTAAATAAACCAATTAGCCAACCGACCAAACTACTAACCAAACCAGCCTGAACCCACCAGCCAACCCAACCCATCAACCAAGTCACCAACAAAACAACCAACAAAACAACCAACCAATCAAACCACCGACCAACCAAACAACTAACACACCAACTAACCCACCAACTAAGCCAACCCATCAATCAAACCACCAACCAAACCACAAACCAAACAACTAAACCAACCATACAATCAACCAATCAACTTAAAAAACAACCAACCAACCAACCAACCCACCAAACCATCAACCAACCCACCCACCCACCTACCAACCCACCAACCAACCCACCTACCAACCCACAAACCAACCCACCAATCAATCAACTAACAAACCAAATAACTAACAACCATGAAAGTCGATGCAGGAACAATCAATCGACCGACAAATCACCTAGCCACGCAATAAAGCCATTCAACCCGATAAACCTTGTAACCATGAATACACCCTTGACCTATACACCAAGAAAATCAACATCATTCACAACTTTAGTGTTAATTTAAAATTTATTAAAGTTAACTTGTTCTATACGTGACAAGAATCGACATTGGTTAAAGAAAATAGGGATAATATAATCAGGCTCCATGACGGTCCTTTACTTATACGAACCGTTCTTCGTAATCCTTTGTATTGACGTAATACTTATTGGCATTAATTGAATTCTTAATTTCATCGCTTTTTAATACGGTTTTCGGCCAACGCCAAAACGTTGCAGCTGTATATTCGATTTTTCTTTTGTTGATATTTGATTGCCTCTTTTTTTCTTGAATTTATTAATAATTTTAATAATTTTGGAACTCTGATTAAACGATAACGTAATAAATTATAAACCAAATAAATGGCCGAGACAAGTCGACATGCAAGAAGAAATCAAGCGTATTATTTACTAAAAATGTTCACAAATGTTAGAAAGAATATCAATTGTCGCCATGGAAAGTGGCATCTCCTTTTWATAGTAATAATATAATCTCAAAAAGCACTTGATTTTATAGAACTATACGGCAATATCTGAATTATTTATGACAATTTATTAGGTCATTCAGCGTTTATAGAACTGCAGTTCTTACGTATTTAGAATGAAGTCATTATTGCATATAGCACTCAACCTTGACACTATGTTATAATCAATAAAAAGTTTATAATTATATAGAACCTATCAACAAATTCATAATAACTACTTATAATATTTCTTTTGTTTTGCTTTAGCAGGTTGCATAACAAAAAATATTTTCAAGTTGTTTGAATTAAGCTTAATTATGGATTTATTTGTTCATCGGAGTCTCTCAGTCAACTCGCAGTTAATTTACGATCAATGCACTTCTCTCATACTTTTTAGCACTCATTCCTTTTATTCTAATAAATAATTGTCAAAGAATTATCACCTCCAACAGAAATTGAAAAGTTTTATGCAAATAAATCCAAAACGTAATATGTTATTATAAAAGGCACTTCATTGTTGAGAGTATGTTCCCACGATTGTCTTAACTCGACCGAAATCAAAAACTTTTAAACCGCACTTTTTAGTAAAACATTAAATACCGAAATAAAATTAAATGTAACGGAGTAATCATTGCCTTGGGATAAATTTTTAACTGCCAATTTTTGCCCGAAATTTACATGCATCATACAGTAACCTAAATATTTGTTTTGAACTTTGCTATGTTATGAGTCATGCATTTTATTTAACCCCGACAAAAATATTCACGGCTAAAAGCTTTACCTGGAGGATATATGGAGTGGTGTATTCCCTTCTTCCCTGGTCAAAATATTAACCTGCGCGCCATGCTTTAAAAGCGATGACACTGCTTCGACCCGGTTGTAACGTACGGCATGATGTAAACTAGAAAGTCCAATCTCATCGAGTTCATCGAGCGAACGGTTTTTCTTCGCTTTGGCTATAGCTTGTTCGACTAAGTCCAGTGTTCCTTCTCGTACAGCTTCGTGGACATCCGATACGGCAGAGCTTGCTTTTTTGGTAAATTCGCTCATCTCTAGTGTTGTGTTCTTGACAACAACGCTCCATCTTGGCCGGTGTTTCTTTTTTTTACTGCTCTCYTTGTTGCTTCCAGCGATATCAAACCCTTTTCTCCTGTCCAAACTATCGTATGATTTTTGAAAGCTTTTGTTATCCATTAATATAGAGCTCAAATACGACAAATATTAAATACTAAGTTCGTCGAGTGGAGCGAATATTTGCTCTGCCAACKCTGACTCGAATGGTTTGTATGGCCCAGCATGGAATGTCACGCTCTATTTAGAAACATACTCAGAAGAAWAGTTAATTGAATTCAAAAGATTTAGTCAAAAGATAAAGAAACGAAATAGTATAGTAGGAATAGTAATCCATGCAATAAAGGCTTTTTTGCAGGTACATTTTCATAGAGAGACCTTTACCCTCGAGTAAGTCAATGTACTGAGCTGTTGATAAACACTAATGGCTTCCGACACAGGTAGCCCGGTGCGGTAACAAACAGAAAAAAATCTTACTTGCCTCAGATTTAAMACGACAAAAATTTAACAAACAAAACAAAAACACACAAACAACCAAAAAGGCTTTGGAAATGCAAATTGATGGCTTGTAAATTAAATTATGACTTAATGTTAAATTGTAAAAAAAATGTAATTATTTCCCATACTTTTTTACAGTGTTCAACTTATCTTCTTTACACAACTGTAACATTGATATGTTACGCAGTTACCGTCTAGCGTGACACTCGAATTTCCATGACATGTTCCACCGGTCGCAAGTGCAAATGTACTTTTTATTATGATAGACAAAATTGATTTTTAATTTGTAGATCAATCAAGCTGGGTATTAAAATGGAGGTCATGGAGAGCAATATGTTGCCACGTAGAAATGACATGATGAAGGAAATCTGGTTAAACCTGTGTGAACCTCTTTGACACCTCGACATCTCCTCTATAGCTATTCCGACGAAACCAGTTTACTTCTTCATGAAACTTTTTAATGGTGGAAACTAGCGGTAAACTAGTGTGAGCTGCGTCGGTGTTTCTTCTAAAGAAACAGTTATGTAAAAAGATAAATTTAACACCGTGAAAAAGTAGGTGAAATAATTAACTTACTGACGTTTTAGACGTTAATACTTCGTCGGAGTAAAGATACGTAGTAATTTGTTTCCACAATTTTTTACGGTGTCAAATTGATCTATTTCAGTTGCACAAACTTTATAAGGGCTCGTTCCTACCTAACCCCCAGGATCGAAAAGTCATTAAGCCGCCATCTTGGATCAGCAACTAAGTAACCGCTCGATCCAACATGGTGGGAAAAACTTTGACGAAAGAAATACAATATCTTGAGATGTGTATAATGCTTGTTTTTAATAATTCCTTTCGTTTAGATCCCTGCGACCATGTATGTAGTAGCCGTACTAGGGTAGGCTAATTTTGGGTCATAGCACTCTTGACGCCATCTGAAATTTGACAGCGTAATAGTGACGTCATAAGATCATTAAAGATTTCGTGCCTTCGAACGCTTTTCAGAGCTGTCCGACCAGCTACAAGAATCAATTTCTACATTACACTTCCATAATGTAGACCTTKGAAAATTATAAAAATCTCGACACTAGTGCATAAATATTTTCTCGATTTTTCTGTTCTAGCCGACTAATTACAGACAAATTTGAAAAAAAAAAAATGATTTGTTTCTCTAACGTCTGACCATCAGTTTACAKTATTAATGTTTATAGTACGAATGCGAGCTGTTTTTCAGCGGTAATCCAAACTAAAACAAGATGGCGTTAATTGGAATGCATCTAGAAAACTGGACTTTAAAATAAATAAAAGAATAGTTTTGCTAAAGATTTATTTTAAGGTATAGCGTTCAAGTTAGRGAAATTAGATCTTATTCTACTTCAGACAACAAGTTAATTGTCAGTGTTTATATAATAATAATAACAACAACAATAATAATAACATAAAGTATGCTGCATAAAACTGCAACCTGCTGGTTTTCAGGCTAACTTAAAGCAATATTAGAATGATATTGATGTTCATGACGATATGTATAATGGTTTGAAATGTTCTTCGTCCGACCTTCCGATTCCTAAAAGTTGTAGAGTACATTTTAATTTTCTTTCACACGGCATGTATAATTTGCCTTTTTCCCTCGACTTCTGAAAATCCCAAAGCCTTGAACATCTTGTTTGCCATACTGTTCACAGAAAACTGACTAGCTATAATAGCGAAAACTATAAAGCAATGTTGCATTATTCAAGCGATAATATTAAATATGACTATATCACTCATGATATAAGAATCGAAATTAACGCCTTTCACAATGTTAATCGATTTTTTATTTTGTATTTTTGATATGAATGGCTATCAACGCATATTTATCATTCTCAGAAAGTCTGTCAAATTTCTTTTATCTTCTATTAATATCTGAAACTATATTAGAATTTCATCTGCTAGTGTTTGGCCAGAGAGCTTTACTTAAAGTTCCACACTTCCTAACGACTCTTTCGATGAATGACAGCACTTCGATATGTTAAACATATTCTATAGGTTTCTATACTTTAAACATGATTAATATGTAAATTTAATGTTCTTTGATATATTGTTAAACCGAGGAAGCAAAAAAAGAATTGAGAATTGAAAAATGTTATTCGCAWGKCACTGTAATTATGCAAACAGCAACAATTCTTATTTCTGCAGGCCTTGAAGTGACACTCAGACTTAAAACACAACTCCTGACAAAATAATTAACATTTACATTGAGATATCAATATCCATTGGATTATATATGTCATTTGAGTTTTATCAACTTTTTATAGTTCTTTACATATATCGACATATATATGTTTTTTTCTGAGGTTCAGTTTTATTTTGCTTCCAATGGTCTCCCTGGMAATCTCTGGTAGATGGTGACAAGGCCGTTCTCAAGCTATTAAACAATCCGTTATGGTACAGTTTTCATCATTTTAGAATAATTTCTTCAATGATGGCTTTAAACATCTGTCTCTATATGTTGATTATGCCTGGCTAGCGATGTTAAATTCATGTAGCATTGATAGGGGCAAAGATGTTTCCACTTTTGAGACAAATGCTGCTACCGTTCTGCATAAATCTTGTCGCGATCATTTTATCAAGATCAAGCGAAGGTCTTGAGAGTTTTATTTTTTTAGTTGTCTTTTTACGTGRCTGTTTGTATCTTTTCCGATTAGAATCCTTACTTTGTTGGGATTCAGTTCCAGTTGAATGCATCTTGTCTGGGGGCTCGAGCCATAAGGGGCCAGAAGGAGCCATTAAATGCGCTCTTTGGTTACCAGGCAGAAATTTTCTGTTTCTTGAGCAAAGTTCGGTGAGCTCTTCCTCGCTAGAGCTCAAGATTTCTCGATTTGTTTCTTTGTCCCCATGATCTTTTTGTTTAATTTCAAAATGAATTTCCGGAAGACTTGGTTTGTGTTCGATATCAAGGCCTTCTTTAAAACTTTCTTGAATTTTTTTGTTGCTTAATGATTTACTCTGGAGGCAACTTTTTGCGAGGATATTTCTCTTGACATTGAAGTGTTTCTGGTGCTTTTCTCTGCCATATATCATGCTAAAAACACAAGATGAACTCCTGTATTGAACACTCTGAGATGACGACAATTTGACAGCGTTACGCAAATGTCCAAACGAGTCGATAGAATCGTCCAAGCGTTGTTGCTGGAAGGATTCAGCCAGATTTTCGACGATTCCAACCTCGGCAAGAGTCATGGCTACGCCAAGCAGCGAAGAACACTCGAACAGAAAAAATTGAACCACTCCGGTGTGAAGATTGGCTTAAATTTGGCATAGGAAATGAAAAGCGAGAAGCCACCTCAGTAGTTGAGTACGCTGTTTCCTTATTGTATAATGGAACAAAGAAAGTATTTACGTTGAATTCAAAGTAGACGTGTAATGACAGAAGACACAATATGATTGGTCCACAGTATGCCACAATTTAATGTTCAAATTACTAGCGTGGAAACGGCTATAAAATATTCATTTTAAGAATCCAATTCATGCTCTGTAGCAACATCATAAACGATCGAGACGTGAAATGCTTAGAATTTCTGTTGCAGGTATAAAAACGTATACGTACCGTTCGGAACAAACCGTGCTGAAGACAAGYAAGATAGTATCAACGCTAAGTTTGCGATTGATAAAATCTGATCCTGAAATATTAAGGTCCAGTGCATTTGTTTGCGGATATCGGTGATCTGAGATGACATGTTTCGTTCGCTTTCATAGCTCAAAGTCGCATCCGTCAGTTTTTTGTCCACTATCAACAAACCAACCACGTTAATCGTTAAATCTTACCCTAAGGCAATTTTGAATACACCGTTCCTTGCCGGCCGAAATTAAACTCGATGCCCCCTGGAGTTCCGAGTATTTGCAATGCAATCGCTGAAGAAGTCTGCATTTGGAGCCAATTGTAGGGAAGCTATCTAAGAGTTTAATAACCAAGGTTTAATCTTTCTTTTCTTAGTTAGAGTAAGAACACAAAGAAAGAAAATCTCAAACTTGTGGAATGATGAATTATCATGTATGACAAATGTGAATGGGATTAGCTTGCCTTTATGTCGTACGTCGGATTACAACTACTTTGCTAACAATTCTCTAAGTCTACTCATGTATTTCATAATAAGGTTTTTATTGTAACAGTGAATAGAAAAACTCGTACTTTTACGTACATTGACCGTTATTTTTATAAACTGCTTTGATTTTTATTATAGAAAAGAAGTTGAAGCGCGGACAATTCACAGTTGAGTCAACAAAAATATCCCCTCTTTCAAAATAAKTTCCGAACCAGCAAATTTACGTTTAAACACCGGAGAAAGCTTTAAAAATAGCCCAGTTTTTGAATAATTTAGATATTGATTTTTGGGTTCTATTAAGTTGGAATAAAATCTTTTAAGTAGCACTTTAAATGCCCTGACATTAATTATCTCGGCTTTGAGTTTTGCTTTCAAAGTCAAATGACCCATTTTTATCATACAAATTGAATGTAGCAAAATAACAATGACAGAGGCCTGTTTTGTTTTTGAAATATTGAAAGTTTCACTAGGAGAATGAGAAGACTATATGAAATACAGCCGTTTTATGGAACTTAGATTTTGCCTTCAAGTCCGACAAAATTCATCAACGACTCGGTTTACTTACGCAAATATAGCGATAGCTGAGATATTGTCATATATTTAATAAAATAAACTTTTCGACATAACAATAACAGAWTTTTTCTTTGTCGTGTTTGAAGATACTATGATGACATGACTACACAAAGGCGGCCTGCATTAAAGATTGATGCTTGTGGAAGCGAATGATCGCTTGGGTAAATTGAAATACTTGGTCAATGAACATGAATGAATAGGGCTGTCAGACTCACACACGTACTAACAGAATGATTGATGGATGTTGGATGGTTGCGTGAATAAATAAATGACAGAATACACGATGATGGATTGATAAATATGGCTTATTGGATTATTGAAATGAGTATGAAAGAGAGAATTGAATGGATATATGAATGATAAAATTAATATGGAGAAATGAGTTATTGGATTGATAAATGTAAAGAAATGAATTGATGGATAAATATAGATAAATGAAATGATGGATTGATATATATAGCTAAATAAATTGACTGATTGATTAATGTAAATGTACGAATTGAAGTGTAGATGAATACAAATAAATGAATTGACGRATGTATAAATATAATAGATTATTAAGAAGAAATAGATTGGTAAATAATTTGAAGGATGGTTAAATGCGGATAAATAGAATAATGGATGAAATAATATATGACTAAATCAGTGAATAAATATATCAAAAATACAACATCAACAAAACCAATGAGTAAAAGAGTTGGATCCAAACTTTATGAGTCGAAAAATTTACAAAATTTGAATAAAACAAGGACAACGATAATGCAGAGCGATTCATTAGCTTTGCTTTCTGCACGTTATTGCTCTTTATTTTGAATGTTTGTCTTAGTTTTTCTTCGTCATATAAAACAATATTGCACTATATATATACATTTCTTAGACTTTTCATCTTTTTCTTATATCAACCATGCCTTTAATAACCGTGTTGACTGTAGATAAAAATCCGATTATTTCACCATATAATAAAAACATACTCTAACCTGGCGACAGACAAGCTATCAACATGCGAGTGTAATATGAACTGTACTTCCTCTAATTTAAAAAGTAATAAATATTTAAAAATTGTGTAGTCAAGAGTACTAGAAATATGATTTTTCTTGTTGAATGTTGAAAGTGTTTTATTGCAGACGTCTGCCCTTCTTTTATGGTTCCTAATATTATTCGACATGAATATTATTCATCTTAAGGAGTAAAGGGCGCGCGCATTTTCCAGTTTTATGATGTAGTGATTATAGGGGCGTTATAGAAATCTATTGCTTTAAACGGAATAAAGAAATTATTTTCTTAACCGACTAAGTACGTATAAGCAGCTTTTTCGCACTACATATCAACCGCGTTAGAATTGTAATACTGCAGTTTCCATTTTCTTTTCTGCATGCTTAGAATCAGATTAAATCAAGCATACATATTTTGATTGTCTTCTTTGTACACAGAGTTTTTGCATTACAAAAGAATCTCTGCTAAATAAAAGAATATATTACATTGCTTTCGAGGTTAAGACTCTGTTTACTTGAGATAGGGTGCCCCTATGTGGTAGGGCTAACTCTTTTGTTTTCTTTTCCCTGGAGGATTTAACGCAAAGGATTTTGGCCCTACCACTAGGGGCACCCTATCTCAYGTTAACAGGGTCTAAGGCTGCACAAATAAGATCTCGAATCTGTAGTATTGTGCATTTTTCTCAAGATAAACCTTTCTCCTGTCCCTAATACAGTTATGCTAATTAGTCAAAATAGTACCATAACATTTGAACGAGACAGAGGAAGGGGAGTGAGAGTGGTCTCCAGTGATCACAAACTATTCCACGATCTAAGATTCAAAATGAGAATAGGATTGTCGCTCTTGAACATATCGTGCTGCCTTTAAAATGTGATTTTCATCGCTGTTAATTATAATTTATATAATAAAGCCTGCTTTTCACTAAGCTACAATTTCCCGGAAAATAAATGTATCGCTTGCTCCCCTACCCCTGATACAAAGTTGTGTGGAGGTTCCACTAAGTATTCCCGGGAAATCATGACTTTTTGTTAAAGAGCGGAATCAACATTGCTGGGGCTGGGGAGGGGGCAGTGAACTAAAGATCTAAGAAATAGACATGACTCATTTTGTTTGAAGCAGATTGTAATATGAAGCACAAGGTGGTATAATTAAGAAGGGTTTTTAAAAGAAGGTGGTTTTCCATCAGTTTGTTCTTATGTCTGTCATATGGTTATTGCTATGCTTATGTTGATGATGTGTGACTTCATTCCTTTGGCTTTTCTTTTGGTCTTGTCGTATGCCTATTCTTATGTCCCTAGTGAAAACCAGCCTTGAAGACTTCGTCGGATCTAACTGCATTGGATTATTTAACGGCTAATTAAGATTTTTTTTTCGTCTTATTCCAACTTGATGGAATGAACAGTAGCACAGTCAAAAAGCCAATAAACCCATCTATCTTGAAATATCTATAATTTGCTGTATATTTAGAAAACCATTGATAAACTCCTCCTTTGAAAATGCCGATTCTTAAAAGAAAATACGGCCATCTTGGGAAAGATCGCAAACGGTTGACTATGATAGCAAAAAAATTAAATTAAGTGGATATTGTAAACTAAAACTCTGTTTTATCTTGCGA